TCCTGCTCTGCCCTCCATCAAGTTCATTTTTCTGCTGTTAACATCCAGTGCCCACCGGGAGTCTGCTTTGGGCCTTCCCGAGTTTGGCCCCTGCTCAGGTAGGCTCTCCTATGCAAGTCAGACTTCTGTCTTGCAACCCTTCCCCCCCCAATCTTCCACCCTGTGGAAGATTGCAGTTACCCACAAAGTTTTAAGTTCTGGAGTGTCTCTAGGTGGGGATCCGTCCATCCATCTAAATGTGCACCCCCTTATAATGACGTCCTTGGCCCCTTATGTAGGCTATGAGATCGGCGTTCCAGAGTCATCGACGTTTGTTATGTACCCTGTAACTGCGGTCAGATCTCAGCCTCGCTGGGCCCTGAGTCTCTCAGCTGTTAACACGCAGCTTCCTTTTACAAATCCCAAAAGATCAGCAGCTCTTTGAGGATACCACTTCTTTGATCTAAATGGGAGGGTGTCTGCACGGTTCAGTCTCTTCACCCAAGTAAGCAGTGTCTTGATGAAGAAATGAAAAACATCTAGACTTTGTTGATTTTTTTTTTTACTAGCCTGTTAATAAAAGTCATACTCATTTTTGTTGTTATTGTTGGTTGTGGGGCTTGAACTCTGGGCCTAGGCTCTTCAGCTCCAGGCCAGCACTCTACCACTTGAGCCACAGCGCCACTTCTGATTTTCTGGTGGTTTATTGGAGAGAAGAGTCTCATGGACTTTCCTGCCCAGGCTGGCTTTGAACTATGATCCTCAGATCTCAGCCTCCTGAGTAGCTAGGATGACAGGCGGGAGCCACTGGCACCCGGCTCCTACTCATTTTAATGTAGGTAGGCTGGCTTTAGATTGTTTTTCAAAGATCCCATTTTAGAGGTACAAGCAACTCTTGTTCCGTTCCCTGTGCCAAGCAAAATTTCCCCCATGCTCTGTTCTCCCTCTGTAAGGGTAGCACCTCCATCCACCGCTCTCCTGCAGATCCATTCTAGAACATCCCCTGCCGCCTTATGCTCCGCTCTGGAATGAGTCTCCTCCACTCTGTCCTGTCCCTGCCCGGTGGGTGGCAGCCCTTGCTTGTAAGCCTTTCAGTAAGAATTTACCTAGAGACATGTCTAGCGGTCTCCTTGTCCATCTCCCACCTCTCGTCTCGCCCTTTGCGTCTATCTGGGCTGTGATTTGTTAACCTGTCATCCCTGATTGCCGCTCCCTGGCCTGGGATTGGTCTTTGGCTTTCTTATGTTGGTCTCCATGTATTCATTGAATGAAATGTGTGTGGTTCTGGGCAGATACAGAGCTGGGTGAAAGGGACATGATCCTTCCGTGGACTGAATTCTCCCTCTAGTCTGGTGAAGAGAAAGGCGTGAGGATGATCAGGACAAGGCATGGACAAGGGCCAGCCAAGGCTGAGAAAGAGAAATGGTTTGTCTGCACGAATTCCTAGGTGCTTGGGGTGTCTGGCCTTTACCTGTCTGACCTGATCTCATGATCTGCATGAGTTTTGTTGTCATAGTCACAGTAAGCGCTCTTTCCCAGAATACTTTTTTTTTTTAATCACCCCAGTTTTCACACTCTCTCTCTCACACACACACACACACAATCCTCTTGTCTCTTTCTATAAGTGATTGTAAGGAAAGGGTTCTTCCTAGTGTATAGCCAATGGAGGGGTCAGTTTGTTGGGGGCATTTTGGGGTGGTGGGTCCTGGTAACAGTAAGTTGGGGAGCTGGATTTGCAGCCCCTCTCAAACACTGAGCCTCCTGTGAGCGAGGCCAGTTCAGGCAAGTTTCAAAGGGTAGAAATTCTGGGGTGACCTGTCTCCCACTCAGCGTCCACAGTATCTGCCCGGAGTTGTGTCTGTGTCGTTGGTCTATGGATTAAAGGGGAGCTGGTTCATAGAAGTTGAGTGACTTCAGGCCTAGATTCCGACATCAGTCTTGCCAGTCTTGTGTCATGTGGCTCTGCATAGTTGCTGAACCAATTGAGCAGTTTGGATCTCTGTGATGAAGATAGCAAGATACGCTGACCGTGGGTTCCTTTGAGATGGAGCCTCTTCACACACACCTTTGGAAGTTCCCTCTCCTGACCCCCCCAAAAAAAATGTCTGTGTACCCCTCTTATCCCCTCACATCGTCTTATAGCGTGTTGCACAGCTGGGGGAAATCATTGATAGAACATGTCACGCTTGGGTTTGCCAGGTGGGTGCTGTGTTAGATCGTGTCCATAAAGTTCATTTCGGATTCTGGGAGATATACAAATAACTGGCACAGGAAGCTACGGCACACTGTATATACTGGACTCGTGAATCTGTGGAATAGTTGGGATACTCTGCTTGCAGCAGTGAACCAGAAGCAGAGTGAATTTTAAGGTCAGCTTTAGCTTTCTATTTTACCTCACTTCCTGTAGGTTAATTCTCCATTGGCAGAAATGTCGTGAATGGGACCAAGGGAATCTGAAACGAGACTATCCAGTCTACGGCACACAACTCGATTTTGTCCTTTTGTCCCTCCCCTTCCCCCCAACCCAGTTGGAGAAGCACTTATTAATCCTTTTATAGGAAGGGAATTGCTTTTTTCAGGAACAAATGTTAAGAAGGTCAATTTGTAAACCGCATGAAATTTTCCGTGTGAGAGAGGACCAAGTTTGTGAGAAGTAAATAGAACTGTCCGCTGTCACTGGAGTTGCTCACTAGGTATTGTCTCGGGATAACTCTTGCTATCCCAGAATCATATACAGACAATCCTAGGAAGTTATTTGCAACGTGCCTTTCCATTTTTAGATGGCCAGTGTTTATCTCAGAATGTATTTGCTTCTAACTTCCTGTCTTAAAAAAAAAACACCACATTTTTTTAAACAGTTGAAACATTTTAAGTAGAAATGTTTGTTCATCGTGTTTAGTAGGCGAATTCTTTCTGGCCTTAGGGAATTAGCTCTGTTTAATTGATTGCTGGAGCAGGTCTATCAGAATTGGAAGCACACCAGAAATATCAAGAGAGCTTTCTTTAGTTTCTGGGAACGACAAGAGGCCTAGCTAGGTAAAAGAGAAGCATTGTATCATTTCAGGAAGAAAATGCAAGTCCAGGGCTCTGATTCGGCAAGATGGCTGTTCCTTCCATGTAGAACCCAAGCAAAGTTGAGCCTTTCCACCTGCCTCTTCTTTCTGATCAGTAGAGTGGCTTCAGTTCCGTGTACAGATTCCCAATCATTCGACTGTTTCCTCCTTTTGAAGCCTGCATTCACATGAAACTGGGTTTGCCACGGACAATAGTGATGGTACAGGATGTTGGTAAAGTTTGAAATGATACGATGAAAAGTCACCTAGGATTTGCTGTGAAACTCGTTTCTGTTAATTAGGTTTTTCAGAGCAGACTGAATCTGGATGGCAAATGGGGATCTAAATGGGTATCTCATGGAACTTTGGAGTGCAAAGTAAGCTTTTCAGATCTGTCTAAATTCTTGATCTGTCTTAAGCTCTAACTTTTATTTCTATATCGTGTTTGTCTTAGCACCTGAAGGATTTTCTGTTCTCAAGAAGCCTTTCTTGTGCATGCTTAACTCTTTGATGATGCCCTGATGAAACTTAAGCAGAACTCAGATACAGGTATTGGTCTACTTAGTTTTCTGTTTGTGTCGAGAAGACAAAGGGCACGAGACCTTAAGAAGTCCTTAAAAGCTTTACCCTGTGGGCCTCCTCCACCCTCCCTCCACAGTCTCTCTCCATCCTCTGACAAACCCAAAGTTGACTGACATGTAGATCATTCATCTTTTCCTATATGCATTGAGTTTGATCTCAGGGCTGGTGCTCTGCCACCCGAGGCCCACCTCCAGTCCTGCTTTTTGTTGGTGAAATGGAACTGGTGCCTAGCTACCCTTTGCCCTGTCTGGCCTCGGCCCTCGATCCTTCAGATCTCAGCCCTCCTGAGTTTCCTAATGTGAACCTCCGGTATGGATTTTCTTAGCTCCTCTGTAAAATCTTAGAGGACGGGGACCGTGTAGGCTTCTCTGTGGTCTGGGCTCACATTGCTTGTTAATGGAGACGATTCAGTGTTCCTATTCCTTGGCCTGAAGCAATCGTACCTTTTTCACCTTTGGGACTTAAGAGATTTCATCAACTGAGACTCACCATCGATGAAGAATATATCAGTAGACATTAGTCAGTGCATTTTTCTGGGAAGTTGGCTTATTTCACAGATCTTTGCATGGAAAAAATACGTGAATAGGTACAGAAAGTCAATGTTTTAATAAGCCCTGCCTGTCTCCCATCTAAAAGCTGCACATACTCGCAAGGATTTTTTTTTTAAGAATGAAATCGTATACAGAGAAAAATATGTCATCTTACTACTTTAACATTTTAGAATTTTAAAATCCATGATTCTTACAAAGTATATGCTCAAAAATCGCTATGATGTGTTATGAAATGGAGTGTGTGAAGTTATGTTGTTTTCCTGGGGGCAGGGGGGGAGGGTGGGGAAATGAGTAATGGATTAGCTTTATTTATTTTGGAGTGATTCCTACACATCAGCTTCCGTTTAAGGCATTACTATGTGAGTACCTATTCAGGACTGTCACCATACCGACCGTGAATCTCATTTACCTTGGGTAGAGATGACACGCTTAGTTATTTTTTAAATCATCTGTTTAGGAATTTGATGGCGATCCTTTCCTTGTTCAGATACTAAATAGTACTCTACATCCGGATTCCTAAATACCTTTCAACTTCCTCCAAGTACTCCTGAACTCCATCTTGATTTTCTTAGAGGAAATCCGGATTACTTAAGCCAGCACTTCATGGATTGATCTGGATCGACAACTCGGTCACTGCTTGAGAGACAGGAGGGGGTTTCTTAGCGTGACATTGCCGGTCTCCTCTGTGGTTCTCAGCCCATTGAGATCGACTACGAGGAAGGAAACTTCTGAGAAGACTATGTTTGGGGAGACAGCTACCTTTCTTGGGGAAATAGCTTCCTAGAGATCTGGAGGTATGGCGTGGTGCATCAGGATTACTACATGATAACCACACGCGTGGCCTATTGACTCGTGTGTGCTGTTTCTTACTTTTCAATTTAGAGCGTATATTGTTCGTTTCCAGGAGGAGGGAAACAGGCTATAGTAGAAAAGTAGAGCATGTTTACTTTGGATAAAGAGAATGGTGGTAGCTCCATGAGAGCTGTGTTTTGCTTGACCCAGAGGTGTCTGGTAGTCCCTGGAGGGAGGCTTTAGTTCACTATCTTCCATTTACCTTATTTTTTGGGGTCGTGGGGCTTGAACTCTGGGCCTGGGCGCTGTCCCTCAGCTCTTCAGCTCAAGGCAAGCGCTCTACCACTTGAGCCATAGCATCACTTCGGTTTTCTGGTGGTCCATTGGAGATAAGATTCTCGCAGACTTTCCTGCCCCGGCTGGCTTTGAATCTCAATCCTCAGAGCTCCTCCTGAGTCGCTAGGATGACAGGCGTGAGCCACCAGCACCCAGCCTCCATTTATTTTGACTACAGGTTCAACTCGTAGTAGGAGGATCAGGTTGGTAATATTCACTGAGAGTTACTTCCACCGCTTAAGTCAGCTTTCATATTTTGGCATCGTAACAGATACCAGATAATTTCCGTGTGTAAGTCCCTTAAATACAGTTTCAGAGTAGCTCTGCCAACCCCAGCTTCTGGCTGACGTCTGTGTATCAGTGGAACGTGGGATGCAGCTCATAGCGCATTGATGCATCGATGCAGAATTTTACAAAAAATTCATTTAATTTTTTTTGCATGGTTTAGTTTGGGTATTGTAATGTTGGTGGTCTGGCATTGATGCATCGATGCAGAATTTTACAAAAAATTCACTTAATTTTTTTTGCATGGTTTAGTTTGGGTATTGTAATGTTGGTGGTCTTTTTTTGGGGGAAAGTTTTTATTATACTCCAGGCAGAATGTACAGAGGTTGTGTAAGTTGCCTCATTTTATATGCATATATTTATTTATTCATTTTGCATGCAGCCTTGACTTAGTCACGCCCTGGATTGGTCCTGGGCCTTCCCCCCATGTGTTTTTACCCCTTCTGGGGAGGAGGGATGAGTAGGAGACATTTGTTTGATAATACCAACTCCCCAGCAGTGGGGCAGATGGCACCAAAAAGCTGAGTGAGTTTTAGCAAGATTAACAATGAATTCCAAATTGACAGGCTTACCAGGGCTGGTTCTACAACTGTTTGCAGCAGCTTGTACAGTGTGTGTAAGGCCACCCACACTTCCTTCCTCTCCTCCAGCCACACCCACACGAGTGGCTTGTGCGCTCCCTTTGCCTGGGAGAACCGGCAGGATGTGTATTCTCGCAACTCGGACCGGCCCCGGTTGCTCAGACATGAATTTCCATAGCATGCACACTCGTGGCTCAGCTGGCCTGCTTTCTGTAGCTCCAGCCCAGTTCTGTGTGCGTGTGTGTGTGCGCATGTGTGGGAGATGAGGGCTGCTTGCAGGCGGCATGCGCCGGCGTGGCTAGTGAGATACACTTGGAGCTGTGTGATTCTTAACAGTGCTTGTTGGGAAGAATTGAGTGCATGAGGAAATGTGGATTATATAAAGTTTGGGGAAAAAACAGTTAAGGACAGTATCTGATTTTGTTTGGTGTGTGTGTGTGTGTGTGTTGTCAGTTGGGCTTGAACTTGTGACCTGGACCCTATCCCTGAGCTCTGTTTTGCTTAAAGCTAGTGCTCTACCACTTTGAGCCACAGCTTCACTTCCAGTTTTCTGGTGGTTCACTGGAGATAAGAGCTTCACAGACTTTCCTGCCTGGGCTGGCTTTGAACTGCGATGATCCTCAGCTCTCAGCCACCTGAGTAGCTAGGATGACAGGCGTGAGCCACCAGCGCCTGGCTAGCATCATGGTTTTATAAAGAATGAATGTGAAAGAGGTCATGATGGTCATCTCTTCCCCCCCCACCCCCACATTGCTCCTCCTTTTCCTATGTATTATCCCAGCTTATTATTTATAATTGTGTCTGGGCATATAGTATGGCAAAGTAATTTGAAAAGCTCTGTATCGGATGTTAACAGATATTATCCCAGAGGATGAGATGATTTCTCTTTGTTAAATTCCTCCACTTTTGCCACTCTATATGTTCTAATTGTACTTTACCTAAAATAGATGTTTTCATAATTGTAATAAAAATAATAGAACATAAGAAAGTATTTATGTTGAATGACAAAAGGGACTATAAAGTTAGGTCTAAAATGTGCAGAGCCTTGCAAAACAGAAGAAGCTGCCTATCAATACTTGCAGGTGACCGCCAGGATGTTCACAGTGCTGAGCGTGAGCGCTGGGACTGTGGATGCCTCTTGATTTCTCATACTTCCCATTCTGTGCTTTGGCGGATTTTCTACAAAAGCTGAGCCTTGTGACACAGGCCTCTGATCCCTGTGATCCCAGCATTCAGGAAGGGAGTCAAAAGGCTAGCAAGGTTGAGGCCAGCCTGGACTGGTCTACAAAACCCTGTCCCAGACAAAATAAAACAGAAATTTTGCTTAGTTGAAGCTAATTCTTTGAGATTTTTGAGACATTATCAAACTTCAGTGGGCAACTAAAGACATTGTTTCAAATTCCTGGGCTGGGAAGGTGGCTCAGTGGTAGAGCGCTTGCCTTGCATGCCTGAGGCCCTGGGTTCGATTCCTCAGCACCACGTAAGCCAAAAAGAAAAAAGCCAGAAGTGGCGCTGTGGCTCAAGTGGTAGAGCGCTAGCCTTGAACTGAAGAGTTGAGAGACAGTGCCCAGGCCTAGAGTTCAGGCCCCACAACCAGAACCCCCCCAAAAAAATCAAATTCCTGTGGCATGATTCCTCCTCTCCTTCCCCTTTCCTTCTCTTCCCTCCCCCCCCCCCCACACCCAGGGCTTAAACTCTGGGCCTGGGCACTGCCCCTGAGCTGCTTACCACTTGAGCCACCACTCCCAACACTTCTGGCTCTTTTGGATAGTTTATTGGAGATAAAAGTCTCCCAGAGTTTCCTGCCCAGGGTGGCATTGAACTGTAATCCTCCGATCTCAGCCTCCTAAGTTGCTAGAATTCACAAGCGCCTGAAGTTGTAGTCTGCATTTTTGATTAGCTCTATTTTCAGAAAGGAAGAGACTTTTTTTTTTTAATTTTTGGAAGGTAATGACAGCACTGCTGTTTCAGGATGATCTTGGCTGGCGCTGCCTTTCATGTGTAGTATCTGGGGCCTTGGCTTCGGTTGGTTCCTGTGTGTGGCTCATTTGCGCCTCATCTGATAGGGAAGTGCCTTGTAAAGCTCATCCTTGCAGTTGTGGGTGTTTTGTTTGGGGCTCTTGCAAGTGGGATGGGCCTTCAAGTTGGGTGGAGCCGGGTTAGACTGAGAAACTGCCACTTAACCCGCCCAGAGCTTCCTCGTTACCTGCCTTGCAGGCCCACGGCAAGGAGAATGACAGCCCGGATGTAGTCTTGTTCTTAGGATTTCTTCCTTTCAGTCCATTCATCTTTGTTAACCTTGTCTATGTAGAAATTCCCGTTGATGAAAGGTATCCTTAAAGAATCGTGATTAAGGCCTAAGGAAGGGGTGTCGTGCTGGTCTAGTTCATATAAGGCCCTGAGTTCAATCCCCAGTCCTGGGGAAAGAGGTGAGGCTTGGGGGAGGGGGAGGTGTAATTAACAAAAGGGCAAAAGTTTTCATATAAAGTTTTAATATAATTTTGTTGTTAGTACGAGGGGTTGCTGTTTCGTAAGTCAGTCATGAGTACTTTTTTTTTTTTTTTTTAAGTTGGTCATGGTTCAAACTCTGGGCCTGGGCGCTGTCCCTCAGCTCCTCAGCTCAAGGCGAGTGCTCTACCATTTGAGCCACAGCGCCACTTCTGGCCTTTTCTGCTTATGTGGTGCTGAGGAAAGGAACCCAGGGCCTCAGGCATGCAAGGCAAGCGCTCTACCACTGAGCCACCTTCCCAGCCCATGAGTATATTTCTTTTTGGGCAGTGTCACCCCTTCCTTCACTTTCCCCCAGTTTCCTTTTCTCGTCCCCACCCACAAGTTACGCAGTTCATGTTCCACATTGTGTATTCTGAATAGCATGATTGCATTCGTTCGCTCTTCCTTCCTTTCTGTGAAAAACAATATTTTTTTAATAATGGGGCGGGGGATGGAGGCTGGGGAGTGGCTCACATCTGTGATCCTAGCCCCTCAGAAGGCTGAGATCTGGGGATCTCAGTTCGAAGCCAGCCCTGGCAAGAAAGTTTACAAGACTCTTATCTCCAGTGAACTACCAAAAAGCTGGAAGTGGAGCCGTGGCTCAGGTAGTAGAGCACTAAGCCTTGAGCTGAAGAGCTGAGGGACAGCGCCCAGGCCCTGAGTAAAGCAAGAGCCAGGACCCCTCTTCCCCCCTCCCCTTATGACCACATCATAAAGACTTTCTTTATAAACTAGTTTTATGTTTGTCTAGAATCTTAGGGCATGTGTTTTTACTTTGAGCTAAAACACATGGATCTAAAGTAAAATCTCTCTTTTTTTTAGAGGAAAGAAGCGACTAACACAAGGCAGTAAGAACAAGGGTTCTTCACTGTGGAGCTTACAGGGTAAGTCTCAGAACTAGCGCAATTCATAACCACGTCAGATGTGCAGAGTGCCTTTCAGGCCTTAGGCTTTCCTCAAATATAAGAAAGAAAAAAAAAATCTCATTTGGTTTTTGGTCTAACTCAAAATACACTTGATGGGGGGATAGGTGGTTTCAGAAGATAGTTTCTTTTCCTTCCTGTGTTCTGTTATTATCACATCCCAGTTTCTGGTGTATGATTTCATCAGAGTTTAAGACTCTGAAAAAAGGGGTCCTTGTTAAAATAGATACTTCAGCCGGATGCCGTTGGCTCACGCCTGTAATCCTAGCTACTCAGGAGGCCGAGATTGGAGGATCTGAGGATCATAGTTTGAAACCAGTCTTGGCAGGAATGTCCATGAGACACTCTCTCTTCACTAAGTTACCAAAAAAGAAAAAAGCTGAAAGTGGTGCTGTGGCTCAAGTGGTAGAGCGCCAGCCTTGAACAAAAGCAGCTCAAGGCCAGAGTTCAAGCCCCAGAACTGGCCAAAAAAAGAGTGGGAGTGAGAGTCTGCCTTTGTGTGGTTTAAAGTGACATTTTAATTTATATAATTTTATACATTTGTTTCCCTCAGTCATTTCTCTTGAGTTTCCATTCGAAAGGTTAAACATTTTTAATGGAAAATGAACTTCTCTCTCTGAGACGCTATAAAAGTGTGTGCTTGGTGACTCTTAAAACGTGAGTGGGTCATGGTGGTTTCTATTTCAGAGCAGAAGTCGGCACCAAGAGCCAGGGCTAGCGGTGTTGATTAAGTGACTACTTGTGTCCCCAGAGCTGCAAGAACGAAAAGTTGTATTCAAAAATGAAAGCGTTCTGGTGGTTGTCTGCATGTCAGGATCATTTTAGGGGTTGGGAGAGGGAAGGACAAAGTAGTAGAGCCTTGGGCTTGGTGGATCGCAGGAGCTTCCGGTGTCAGCATGGAAAAATGCTATAATCAAACACCTGTAGACCCCGTGGGAAGAGCCTGTCCCGAGACACTTAGAGACACAGAAAAGAGAAGCCAATTGTGGCTGAGAAAGCTAACATCTCTGCTAACAACTTTCTTAGGCATAAAGGTAATACTGTCGGTATTGGGGTAACAGGAGAGGAGGGGGAGTTCCTGTTATTTGTATTTTCTTGTTGACTTGTGAGGTTTTTTTGGTTGTTGTTGTTGTTTTGTGCGTCCTGGGACTTGAACTCTGGGATGAGAAACGTAGACTTTGCTGCCTGGGCTGGCTTTGCACTGCAATCCTCAGATCTCAGCCTCCTGAGTAGCTAGGATGACAGGTGTGCCACTGGTGGCCAGTCTGTCTTGTTTTTTTTGACACTTATTTGACTAACCTACTTATTTCTGCCATCACCAAAAAGTGCTTCCCATGAACTTTCTTTTTGACAGTTTGAGAATGTTAATATGGTATTAAAATTCCCAACCTTTATATTATAAGCTCTGTATATTAAAAATAGGCTTTTTAAAAAATGCCCTTGACTTATTTTATGGCTCTTAAAAACACAAAAAGGGCTGAGGACCGGCAACTCACATCTGTTATCCTGGCTACTCAGAGGCTGATCTGAGGATCTTGGTTTGAAGCTGACCCAGGCAGAAAAGTCCCTGAGAGACTCTTTCCCCTGGTCAACCACTCAAAAACCGGAAGTGGGCGTGGCTCAAAATGGTAGTGCTCTAGCTAGCCTTGAGCAAAAAAGTCAGGGACAGCGTTCAGGCCCTGAATTCAAGCCCCACGGACCGACAGAACACACACAGACACACACACACACAGGGAAACTGAACAGAAGGTTGATTTTGTTTCTCTTCTTTTACAGATGTCCTTGGCAACACTGAAAATGAACTCCTTTTCACCAGACACTCTTCTATGAGAAGGCTCATTTCAGGCAGTCTAGGTATTTTTCCCTCCGCCGCTGCAGCAGCATGGCAGGATTCAAACGCGGCTATGACGGGAAGATTGCGGGGTTGTATGATCTGGATAAAACCTTGGGGCGAGGGCATTTTGCTGTGGTTAAACTGGCGAGACACGTCTTCACAGGAGAAAAGGTGGCGGTAAAAGTGATCGACAAGACCAAACTGGATACACTCGCCACTGGACATCTGTTCCAGGAAGTAAGGTGCATGAAACTGGTGCAGCACCCCAACATCGTCCGCCTTTACGAAGTCATCGACACCCAGACCAAACTCTATCTGATTCTCGAACTTGGTGATGGAGGAGACATGTTCGACTACATCATGAAACATGAGGAGGGTCTCAACGAAGACCTGGCCAAGAAGTACTTTGCACAGATCGTGCATGCTATTTCGTACTGCCATAAACTCCACGTGGTCCACAGAGACCTAAAACCGGAGAACGTGGTCTTTTTTGAGAAACAAGGTCTTGTAAAGTTGACAGACTTCGGTTTCAGCAACAAATTTCAGCCCGGGAAGAAGCTCACCACAAGTTGTGGCTCTCTCGCCTACTCCGCTCCAGAAATCCTGCTCGGGGATGAGTACGATGCCCCCGCGGTGGGTAAGTACCTTTCCTGCCCGTGTCAGCCCCTGGCGGCTGTTTGCCTAAAAGCGGTTTCAAAGAATTTCATCAGCCGTATCTCACTTAACACGTTCATTTTCCTGAAAGGTTACGTATCTCTAAAGCTGATGGCAAATCTAGCCTGTTTGATGGCAAAGGTCTAACGTGTACACACAAAGGAAACCATAGAGTTCATTGTCTAAGCTAACCTATTTTTGTTGTTGTTGTTGTCATGGGGCTTGAACTCTGGTCCTGGGCGCCACTTCTGATGTTCTGGTGGTTCATGGAAGATAAGAGTCTCATGGCCGGGCTGGGAAGGTGGCTCAGTGGTAGAGTGTTTGCCTTGCATGCATGAGGCCCTGGGTTCGATTCCTCAGCACCACATAAGCAGAAGAAGCCGGAAGCGGCGCTGTGGCTCACGTGGTAGAGGGCTAACCTTGAGCTGAAGAGCTGAGGGACAGTGCCCAGGCCCAGAGTTCAGGCCCACAACCGGAAAAAAAAAAAAAAGAGTCTCATGGCCTTTCCTGCCCAGACTGGCTTTGAACCGCGATCCTCAGATCTCAGCCTCCTAAGTTGCTAGGATGACAGGCGTGAGCCACCGGCTTAAGCTAATCTCTTAGTTGCTCATTTTACCTTTTTTCTTAGAGATCTGAGTTCTCTTCCTACCTTCTTAGATTTTTTTTTTCTTTTTTCCCTGGTACCAATGACCAGCAAGAGCTTTCCTCTTCTGACAAATATCCTTCAGCCATTGCTGTAGCCTCACATTGCAGAGTTCCCCTAAGTCTTACAATGTGCTGTTAAGAAATCAGGCGTTGGCCGGGCGCCAGTGGCTCACGCCTGTCATCCTAGCTACTCAGGAGGCTGAGATCTGACAATTGCGGTTCAAAGCCAGCCTGGGCAGCAAGGCCGTTAGACTCTTATCTCCCATGAACCACCAGCTGGCACTGTGGCTCAAGTGGTAGAGTGCTCGCCTTGAGCTGAAGAGCTGAGAGACAGCGCCCAGGCCCGGAGTTCAAGCCCCACAACCGACAAAGAAAAAGCAATCAGGCATTGGAGTCGGGTGCAGCTGTGATCTTGAGTCAGTGGCTGCCCTCTCTTCTGAAACAGAATAACAGCCAATGTGGGTGTGTCATTCCAGATCACCCACGGTGCTTTTCCCAGAGGCCTGTGCGGTGATTACTTGGTGTTGTCCTCTCCTGGTTGTGATAATTCAGTTCCTGACACCCAAACACTGGAAGGCAGACTGGAAACCTTGGCCTGCAAACGTGCCCCACCGTGTGTCAGGTGGAGGAGTCAGGGTGGTCTCGATAGCCCGCCGACCACCCTCCTTTGTGTTCCCATGTCGTCATCGGTCAGGGGACCCCCTCGTGGTGGTATTGTTGACTGCCTTTTGGATTGGATTATTGTGGTTGCCTTGAGAGTCCGATCTGTTTTGAGGGTCTTAAAAAATGACTCTTTAATCTGTAAGGATTTGTTGATCTGAAGGTGCAGTTAGGTGATTAGCTTTTTCCCTCAGTCCCCCAAATGCTTCGTGGTCTTCCCACGTGTGCCGCGTGTGGCTTCCTCGGTGACTCCTCCACGCAGGGTCCGCTCATTTGACATAGCGAAGAGGAGTGACTCGAGTTCATTTAACCTCAAGAGATCGCCGACGTTAGTTAAAGGAGGCAATCTTTACACCGAGACCCTGATTTTTATGTTAGACCATTGTGTGATGAGAAAGAGCGTTCACCAGTGGTCCCTGCCTCCTACAGATAACGGGTTTCACAGGAGTCTTTCATGAGAACAGTCAAGCTACAGATTCTCTATTAGCAGAGCCATCCTAATGGAAGCTAAGCATTTTCAGAAGCAGACACTCGAAGGTTCAGACATGAAAGACACTCGGCCTCGTTGGTACAGGGAAAGGCAGATTGAAGCCACAATAAGACCGTCGTGTTCTGAAGTTCTGTTCACTGAGAAAAAGCTAAAGCCAGACAAAACCGAGTGTTGATAAGACTATATCAAGAATCCCTGGGTAATTTAGATTCCGTGACTAGCTGGTGAAGAGAGGCGGTCACGTCCTGTGACCCAGAGAATTCCCCGTGTATGTATGCGTGAGAGAGATTTTCAAAGAGATGTAGCATAGCTAGGGGGAGAGGACATGGCGGAGACAGACCCTAGGTCTCTGTGTGTGTCAGGCAAGAATTCTTCTACGCCACACTCCCTGCCCATCAAATGGCTTTTTTTTTTTACACAGCATTGTTTATATTTTCAGGGAAATGAAATATTTAGTATTCATATTGAATTCTTAACATTAGTGGAAAATAACAAACATGATTAGACTTTTGCAAGCATGATAAGAAAAGGAAATCGGTGGAGTCTCTATAGAACATTTATGTAAGAGTTTGAAGCGGATCAAACCTATGCCTTTAGGAAATTTTGTGCACGTAGTAAACTAAAGAAAGCACTAAAACTAGAGCAGGCATATCTGTAGAGTTTCAACTTTACCTGGTGATAACTTGGGATTTGAGTGTCCGTACATCCTATACAGGTGTGCATATACAGATGTTCATCGTGATGATTTTTTCCCCTTAACTGTTTATTCATTAGTACAATTTGAACGGTTATCAGATGGCAGAGAACATTGGGAAGATGTTACATTGCTGTGATATAGGATTGGATGGAGTTCATAGATGGCCTTTTCGTTTTGTTTTTATTTCAAATCATTTTGTATAATATGTGATCAAATATAGAATTACTTTTTAAAAACCCCAAATGGACAGACAGTTACCGTTCTATTTTCTTACAGCACTAGGCAGTATGCTCAGGTCCCCGTGCGTGCTAGAATTAGAAATCCTGGGTAATGTCATTTGGGCGAATTTTATCTTCCCCTCCTGGCAACATTAGGAAAGAGCTTACTCTTTTTTTTTTTTTTCTGTCTGTCCTGGGCCTGAACTCTGGGCCTGGACACTGTCCCTCAGCTCTTCAGCTCAAGGCTAGCACCCTACCACTTGAACCACGGAGCCACTTCTGGCTTTTTTCTGCTTACGTGGTGCTGAGGAATCGAACCCAGGGCTTCATGCAGGCGAGGCAAGCAGTCTACCACTGAGCCACCTTCCCAGACCCCTCTCGTAGAATTATTAATAAATGAGTTAAGCAAGGATTTAAAGGACTGAAAATGATAGGAAAGACAATTGCATTTCTATAATATAGTGGGAAACCTGCAGAGACCAAAATCTAAAAAAACAGTATAGTTGACAGTCAGATTGAAATACCTGGAAATGAGTTTTGTCAGAACACATTTGACAGGAAAAATTTGTTCTGAAAATGATGAAGAAATCCGAGACCCAACTCCACGGAGATAGATCCCGTTCTATTATTTAGGAGGCACTGTGGTACAGATGTTAATCCTGCCATGGGTGATGACACGTTCCTCACCAAAAGCCCTGGGTGGTGGTTTGCACACAGAATTATTCTCAAGTTTGCGGGGGATGCAGAATAGTTGAAACATAAAAACATAGTTGTATATTTTATATTTCACATATATTTTATATAAGTATATATACATATATTATTTTTTATCCATAGCAGCTTGCTGCTCAACTGCTTTATTTTTTAATTGGCTTATTGTAATCACATGGGGGGGGGAATTTGATTTTTACATCATCTCCACGTGAGTTTACGTATATTTTAGCCTCACCTCTTCTATCTCTCTGCAAGCAGTATGGGTGAGTTTCATTGTTCTGTTTGCCTGGTGGCAAACCATCTATAGTCTGGCGGGGCGGGGGTGGGGTGGTTGGGGTTGGGGGAGCCCAGCAAGGAATACAGAGCAATCACCAATATAACCACTCCAGGTTATATTAGTGTTTTAGAAAATACAATCCTGCAGTTGTACTCCTGGCTGTTGATTGCAGAAAAATGAATAGATGTGTTCACATTAAAAAAAAAAAAAAAGACCCGAATATAGGTGTTCATAGCAGCTTTAGTTTTAAAACCATAAACCGGAAGCAGATGTTCATCAGCAGGTGGGTAGCTGATACTTTGCTTTTTTTTTTTTTTTTAACTACAAAGTTCTAATCCGTCTTAAATGGATTTTAAGGGAAAGTATGATTTTGAAATTACAGAATGTAGAAAAGAGATGAGCAGGGGTGAGGGACGTTGTGACTAAGGCTGTGAAGAGTCGCGTGTGGATGGACCACTTCTCAACGCTGTAGTCACGCAAGCCTGCGTGTGGTAACGTGGCACGGGGACCGTGCACGTGCATGGGCACCCATGCAGTGGGCGATCCGAAGACGCGTGGACTGTCTAGCTGTCTGGCAACTCTTGCAAATCTGCAGTTCTCTCATAGTGGAAAAAGAAAATCTCTCCCATTGCTTGAAGACAGATAAACTGGGAACAAGGAACATTTTTCGTTTCCACGGTCTGCGGCTGCAGTTTTAGGTAACCCGTTCCCTAAGATCAGGAATCATCATCCGTTCCTTGTAAAGCTGAGGGCTTGAACTCAGGGCCTGGGCTCTGTCCCTGAGTTTATTTTTTGTTTGTTTGTTTTGTTTTTGGCTCGAGGCTAGTGCCTTACCACCTGAGCCACGGCTCCACATCTTGCTTTTTCGTGTTCCATTTGGAGATTAGTGTCTCATGGACTTTCCCGCCTAGGCGGGTTCGAACTGTGATCCTCGGATCTCAGCCTCCTGAGGAGCTGGGATGATGGGTGTGAGTGGTGCACCACTTCCCCACATCTCTCGCCCTCCCTCCCCCCCACACACACCTTCTCCCTGGCCGTGGCCGCAATACCACCTCCTGGCTGCATCCCCAGCGCCTGTGGGGCCTTCCCCTCTTCTGCCCATGCGTGTGTGTCCACTTGTATTTAGCCTTTAGAAGCTGAGGCTGTCTATCTATAGTTAGGAATCGGTTTAATTTCTAAACTAGAGATCTTCCTTTTAAGTTAGCTTTAAAAAAAAAAGGGGGGGGTGATTTGTTTTTTGCTACATGGTTAGTCTCTTGAAACTTCAGAAGAGCTTTTCAGATCCCAGAGAACAGCAGCTATTTGGATGCCAGCACACATACAGAAATGGAATCTGCTCATGTTCATTTTAGATCAGAGCATCAGAAGCGTTTAGAAGACAGTCGCGCTTTAAAACGGCGTGTTCTTGTTGCTGAGGTGAGGTCTTGCTATGTCGCTGGCCCAGAACTCGCTCTGTAGCCTCCGCTGACCTAGAACTTGCCAGCTTACCATTCTTTGGCCTTAGTCGATCCCAAGTTGCTGGGATTATAGGGTGTGTGTGTGTGTGTGTGTGTGTGTGTGTGTGTGTGTGTGTGTGTGTCACTGGGGATTGAACCTACGCCCTCGAGCGTGTGCCCTACCACTAGATCTATGCCCCCTAGCCCATAGGTTTCTGTTTTGTATTTGAAGGCTTGATCTTCCCGCCTCTACTGCACCCTCTAGTGGCTGGGAAGATTATTACTGTTAGTGTGCACCACTCTACCTGGCTTTTTAAAGCCTTTTCAAGAAGAAAAACTCCGAAGCAAAACAAAAACTAGTGGTTAGCCCCAACCCTTTAACACAGTAAGTGGGATTCCCATTCATGATGGATGCGGCTGCACAGCCTGAGCTCCACTGGTTGGGTTGATCATGTTTGGATGATGTTGTGTGTGTAAAAAGTGTATCCGCACACGAGCGTCTGTGTTTGGTCACAATGTTGCGCTCGCTCTTATGGTCGCGGTAGGACTAAATGATGGCTATTGGTTTCTGGGGAGACCTTGTCCCATTACCAGGCTGGGTGCACACATACACACACACGCACACACATTGCAGGTGCCTAATACTCTTGATTCTTGCCAGGGCGATGACACCTGCACCCACGCATGCGCAAGGCACTGTAAACTGCAGTGAAGCCTTCTGTCTTCATCTAGTAGGCTTAGAGTGAGATTATGTGTGATACTGTCACGTGTGAGGCCCTCCAACAAGCATGCGTACATGCAGTACTTTGACAACCTGAAAAGTAATTTAGGAAACTTAAAAAACATTATTTGGTATTTTTGAATTTTCCAGCTTGAAGTGCTAATATGGAGGGACCGTCTAAAAGTGATGCCCTTCACGGAAACCAGCACGTTGATGACGTAGTATATTTTAAAAATATTTAAGACGTAATTTTAGATGCAGGAAGATCAGTTGTATATGTTGTATTTTCATTTACTTATTTTTTGGGTGGTCGTGGGACTTGAACTCAGGGCCTAGGTGCTGTCCCAAGTTTTTTGGTCTCGTTTTGGTTTTTAGATTTTGCATTTTTTTCTTCAGTGATGTATTTATCTATTTTTTTAATGTACTGTAAAAGCGATGAACAGGGGTTTACAGTTACATAAATAAGGTAATGAGTACATTTCATTTTTTTTTTTTTTTTGGTCAGTTATGGGGCTTGAACTCTGGGCCTATTCACTGTCCCTCAGCTCTCCAGCTCAAGGTGAGCACTCTACCACTTGAGCCACAGCGCCACTGCCAGTTTTTTGGTGGTTCATTGGAGATAAGAGTCTCACGGACTTTCCTGCCCCGGTGGCTTTGAACTGCTGTCCTCGGATCTCAGCCTCCTGAGTAGCTAGGATGACAGGTGTGAGCCACTGGCACCCAGCTCCAGTACTTTCTATTGGTAAATTAGTGGGTGTTCTTGTAATTGAAATGACACAAGTACCTTGAGTAAAAGCATAAAGCCCGCCCCTGTGGGTCTCTCTCTTGAGTCTCTTCCTACTGGGAGCCTCTTAGGTGTGGGCCTTCAAGCAGTCCTTACCAGTTGTTAAGGCTCTGCCAGTTATAGAGGTAACATTCTTTGCACAGACACTGTCCTAGAAATGACCAGATGAGTGGTACTGTTAATATGCACGTGTGTGCATGCATGTGCATGCGTTGCGCACACACTTGGCTGGTTCTGGGGCTTGAACTCAGGGCTTGGGTGCTATTGCTGAGCTTTTTTGCTCAAGGCCAGTACTCTGTCTCCTGAGCCACACTTGCACTTCCAGCTTTTTGATGGTTAATTGGAGATGAGAGCTTCCTGCCCAGGCTGGCTACGAACTGCTGTCCTCGGATCTCAGCCACCTTGGTAGTGAGAATGCCTGGCCTGAGCCACTGGGACCCTGATGCTGTTGACCTTGGGTGGAAGAGAGAACAGAAATGAGAACAAACTGGGTGACTTGGCCAAGTTTTCACAGCTAAGCTGCCATGACAGGATTTGAACCCAGAGCTCTCTGAAGCTCTAAGTCAGGCACGCAAGCTCCTCCCATGAGGCCCCAGGGAAGGAAATTGCTCCTTGATGATGGCTTCGCCGGGCTTGCTTTTCCTCTTTGTCTGTGAGATGATTTATGAAGGGAAGCCGCGTCCGGAGGCAGTCTGCCGTGTGTCTGGCTTGGGTTTGCGTGGACATGGGCGGTCCTGGGCGTGTGGCCGATAACCCTTTGACTCCTTGAACTTTTTCCTACTTTCTTTCATTTGCACAAAACCAGTTTGCACAGCTAACCTTAACACAGCTGACCCAAGCAGAGCTCAGCTTGTCACCACTGAATGAATTGTCGCCTCCACCCAGTCGCCTTGCTCTGAGGATTCTTAGTCTTTCCCTCTTTGCTTTTGTTGGTCAGTCCTGGGGCTTGACCTCACAACCTGGGCGCTGTCCCTGAGCGCAAGGTGAGTGCTGTATCACTTGAGCCACAGCACCACTTCCGGTTTTCTGGTGGTTCATTAGAGATAAGAGTCTCACGGACTTTCCTGCCCAGGCTGGCTTCGAACCATGATCCTCAGAGCTCAGCCTCCTGAGTAGCTTGGATTTCAGGCATGAGCCACAAGCGCCCGGCCATAGTGTGGAATTTTATATTTAAGTGTTTCAACTTTGAAGCACATTGAGGATTTTGTGGGAGCCGGAACCAAGGTGGCTGTTCTTGCTCTGGGAATCAGGTCTACCTCCATCCGGGCACCACATGATGGTTTGCTCTCAAGCACATAGATCCTTCCGGAGAACCGCACCAACCGATGGGACTCCTTGTCGCTTGGCAGGTTAATGTTGAACGGGAAAAGAAAGTGTTCTTCAACCAAATAATTTGGGGTAATCGCTACTTGATATTTATATTACTTACTACATTTTTAGAATGTCGGCTTTTGTAATTACGCCATCAGATGTCAGCCGCTCCAGTTTAGCACAGAGAGAGAGAGAGAGCGAGAAAAAAAGAGTTTATTCACAGCCCTCGTGTGAGATGCTAGGGGAAATAATAGAACTAATTGCATTTTGTAAAAGCTGTTGTTTTGAAGGATTTATATGGAAAGAGATGGATTTATTGTACATCAGATGCACAAATATCTGCGGCTACAAACTACAGTGGTAGCATTAAATGTCAGCATTAAAACAGCAGAAGGAAGAAGAGTTTCTCTTCTAATTGCCTTAGATGTTAATGTGCATGTACTTGTTATTTTGTAAATCATTGAAGTCTCCCTTTTTGGGGGAAGAGAGATGGCCGAGTCTGTATTATAAAAATGTGATACTTTACACTTAATTTCTAGAGCATACCTTGTAAAATGAAGAACATATAATAAAATGAAGTACTTGGGAGAATTTTGAGGGAATAGGACCTGAATTCCAAGATCAGTGTAGAGGCTGGAATCCTGATTGTTTAGACACCTGGACTCTAATTCTGCCATCCAAAAATCATGCATGCCCAGTCTTTCCCCTTGTGTTTAGCCATAGTTTGCTCAGCTTTGAGCTTTAATTTTCTAGGTGACCTTGTGAGCTACAGAGCCTCATTTATTACCTTACGAGGACTGGGGTTAAGAACGACTGAGAAAGTTGTGACCAACATGAACTAGTTTTCTGTTGTTGTTGTTGTGTGTTTTGTCTTTTCTCTGACCTCGGTTCTCTTAACTGGTCCGACGTGTGTCTGTTCTACAGATATCTGGAGTCTGGGAGTGATCCTCTTCATGCTGGTGTGTGGCCAGCCGCCCTTCCAAGAAGCCAACGACAGTGAAACGCTGACCATGATCATGGACTGCAAATACACGGTGCCCTCCCACGTGTCCAAAGAATGTAAAGAGTAAGTAAAAGTGGCCTTTGGCGATTCACTCGTTATCGAAAGTCCAGAAGTTGTCAACTCCGGGAACATACTAGGAACGCTTCGTGTCTGGAGCTGCATGCATTTTAGAGTTTGAGTTTAATATTCCTATCGGTGCCAGAGTGTTTAGAATGGGGAAGGGGAATATCTCTAGAATCTGATGTGAAACTCAGTAGTAGAGTCCAAAATCGTATTCTCACTGATTACTTTTTTTTTTTGGGGTCCGGTCGTGGGGTCTGAATTCTGGGCCTGGTTGCTGTCCCTCAGCTCTTCAGTTCAAGGCTAGCGCTCTACCACTTGAGCCATGGCACCACTTCCGGCTTTTTTCTTTTTGCTTACGTGGTGCTGAGGAATCGAACTCAGGGCCTCTGGCATGCAAGGCAAGCGCTCTACCACTGAGCCACCTTCCCAGCCCCCTCACTGATTACTTACAGAACTGTTTGAAGACCTCCTTCGCCCGCCTCTTCTGCCTCCAGAGGTGCTTGCGGGAGGGACCATGCCCTGTGCTAGTGGACAGCAGAGAATGGCTAGGGCTTCTTCCTTCCTGACTGGGGCCACCGCACGCCATTTTAGCGTGTACAGAACGTGTCCTGTAATTTTATTCACCCGTTCCTCCCCCATCGGTAAAAAGAGCTGTTTGGTATACGTAACGCTAAAGGATTTTTCTGTATTGTTTTTCCCCTGAAGTTTTTTAAGTTTGTCCTATCAGCTGGTAAAGGAGGACTTTTTACTTATAATGGAGCCCCAACTTAGGTGACTGGTAAAGAAGCTAGGTGATGAGCTCCCCGGATCCAGACCCTGGCTTCTGCAGTGAGCCGTCCTGGAGGCTCGCTGAGTACCTGCCTTTCATCGCAGACACAGGGTGAATTCGCATACAGTACACTTGTAGCCCGTTCTACAGCAAATAGGAAGTTCTCGGTGAACATTGATAAAACTGGAGGCGTTTTCTGCTCCTGGTCCTAGGAAGCTGTCTGGACTGCCTTGCATACACATTAGATCTTTTTAATTCAAGGATTACCCTCCTCTGCCCCTACTGAAAAAATCAGAAGGATTAATTTACCATATTTTAAGCTCTGTAGGATAGGATCTGTGGGGACCGTGCCCGTTGGTGTGATGCCGCAAGGCCTTCTTGGCTTTAGAAGGCCTTTTCAAAGAACTACCTTGGCTTTTTTGTGAGGGATGGGATGCAGTCCTGGGGCTTGAACTCAGGGCCTGGGCACTGTCCCTGAGCTGCTTTTTGCTCAAAGCTAGTGCTCTAGCTCTTGAGCCATGGCACCACGTTTGGCTTTTTCTGAGTAGTTTACTGGAGATGAGAGTCTTGGGGACTTTTCTGCTCGGGCTGGCTTTGACCGGTGATCCTCAGACCTCAGCCTCGCACGTAGTTAGGATGACATGTGTGAGCCACTGGCGCCCAGCTTGTCTGTCTGCTTTACTTTTCACTGTTTCCTGCTACCTACTCCCACAGACTTAAATCTTTTCTTTTTCTTACCTTGGTTACTCAGCCTACAAAATTTTATTTATTAGACTATTTAAGGCTATATTCCTTCATCCCACTGTTTTCTTATTTATAGCCTACTTGGTAGTCAGCTGTAAATATTTTCTGCTTTGCATTGATTTGATCCACTTGTGAATAGGGCTGTTTTGGGGAGGTTTTTTTAGGTCCGGTTGTGGGGCCTGAACTCTGGGCCTGGGCGCTGTCCCTCATCTCTTCAGGTCAAGGCTAGCGCTCTACCATTTGAGCCACAGTGCCACTTCCGGCTTTTTTCTTTTTGCTTATGTGGTGCTGGGGAATTGAACCCAGGGCCTCATGCATGCAAGGCAAGTGCTCTACCACTGAGCCACCTTCCCAGCCCATTTTGTTTTTTGTCAGTCATGGGGCTTGAACTCTGGGCCTGGGTGCTGTCCCTCAGCTCATCAGCTCAAGGCAAGCCACAGCACCACTTTCGGTTTTCTAGTGGTTTATTGGAGATAGGAATCTCACTGGGTCTTTCCTGCCTGGGCTGGCTTTGAACCACGATCCTCAGATCTCAGCCTCCTGAGTAGCTAGGATTACAGGCGTGAGCCACCATTGCCCAGCTAATAGGGCTGTTTTTAATTTCTGCATACATAGCATTTTTCTAGTTAGTTTGTTGTTGTTTGTTTGTTACCTGTTTTCGTGTGTAGTCTGAAAATACAGACTTGTGGGTTACCATGTTTGTCCTGTTCTTTGAGTTTCATCCCATCACCTTTCTTTGAGATTGTTTTTTCTTTTTACTCACCCTTGACATTTTCTTCTCAACTATCTGGAAAGTTACCATCTATTATTGTAGCGATTTTCCTTCCTACTTAAAAAATACCTTATATGGGGCTGGGAAGGTGGCTCAATGGTAAAGTGCTAGCCTTGCATGCATGAGGCCCTGGGTTCGATTCCTCAGCACCACATAAGCAGGAAAAAAAAGCTGGAAGTGGCGCTGTGGCTCAAGTGGTAGAGCGCTAGCCTTGAGCTGAAGAGCTGAGGGACAGCAGAGTTCAGGCCCCACAACCGGACCAAAAAAAAAAAATACCTTATGTGTTTGTATACTTGGTGTGAGAGCTATAGTTGGTCCTGACCTTTGTCATCTTGTGAAGCAGCTCCTTGGAACGTTTTGATTACCATCTAATATTTTAGTAATTATCCTCGCTCCATAAGCTAGATAATCTATTGTTACAAATGGTTTGTAATTGCCCAGCTATTTAACAAAATCTCGTGTTATTCCCTCTGGGATGGAATCCCATTCTTCGGCCAAAATCATATCCTAATCCTATCCTTCAGAATTTCTTTGTTGTTGGTGGTGGTGGTGGTCGTGGGGCCTGAACTCTGGGCCTGGGTGCTGTCCCTCAGCTCTTCAGTTCACGGCTAGCGCTCTACCACTTGAGCCACAGCGCCACATCCTGCCTTTTCTGTTTATGTGGTGCTGAGGAATCGAACCCAGGGCCTCATGCATGCAAGGTAAGCGCTCTACCACTGAGCCACCTTCCCAGCCCAGCATCTCTTAGACTTTCTATTTTGAATTGGAAGGTTATTTTCTAGATAGAAAGTTGCTTCCTTTCAATTCACTAGTTGTCTATGCCAAATAGAAAAAAAATTAAAACATTTTCCTTTGGCTTTTTTTTTCTTTTAGTTGTAAATGATCAGTTGTCACTTTTAGAAGCCACATTTAATTTTTTTTTTCAAGAACATGTGGTATAATTTTGTTTCTGGTTCTGTTTTCAAGCCTTTAAACATTTGGTTGTGTGTGTGTGTATGTGTGTGTGTATATATATATATATATATATATATATATGAAAATTTTTACTTTTGGCCTGTTTGCATTCTGATTGGACTGTATGTTTTGTAAGGCTTCCTATTGGTGTCCTTGTTCCCTTGGTGGATATGTGTTTTTGTTTTCTTTGATTTGTGATCCTGTTTGTCATCCTACTCAGGAATATCTTTGGGGCCTGGTTTTTGTCTTCAGGAAAAGATTCGTGTATTTACTTCTCTCCCCGGCCCCCAGGGGTACTTCCAGCCAGAGCCACTTTAACTTCTCTGTGTCCACCACCCAGTCGCGTTATTTCGAAGCATAAGTCCTGGGGAGGAGCTCCCCCGGCCTCGCTGCAGCCCAAGGGCCAGTTTCACCCCGGCCTCCTCTGAGCAATAATTCCCTTCTAGTCTCTCTCTCGCCCTCACGCTGGGCTGGGGTCATCACTCTGTAAGGGCTCCCTTCCCAGGATCTGCCTGGTGGGCCCCCCCTGCATCGTGTTCCCTGCCGCTGGTAACCCAACTTCAGTTGATGGAACCAATTTAGCAAGCGAAAGGATCCACTGTTATGAGTCCTTGCTTCATGGGTGGATGTGTCTTCCTTTGCAGCCTGATCACCCGGATGCTGCAGAGAGATCCCAAGCGGAGGGCCTCCCTGGAGGAGATCGAAAACCACCCCTGGCTCCAGGGCGTCGACCCTTCGCCGGCCACCAAGTACAACATCCCGCTGGTGTCCTACAAGAATCTGTCGGAGGAGGAGCACAACAGCATCATTCAACGCATGGTGCTGGGAGACATCGCCGACCGGGATGCCATTGTGGAGTACGTAGGGAATCTGTGATGGGTAGAGTCCCCAGCACAGCTTTTACCACAAGCGCTCCCCAGTCGAGTGCCCAGCATGGAGTTAGTTTGGTCCTGATGAACGAGTCAGCTGCTGCTGGGTGGGGCTCATGCTGTGGCCTTGGCTCTCCGGTCTGTGTGCAGCTCTGCGTGGTGAGTGGGGAGGTCAGGCAGGACCAAGGACCAGAGGCCTCTCAAGTCAGGCTAGCCAAGGGCGGGTGCACACGTGGTTTTCTGTGTGCAGTTTCACTGGCCCGCCACGGTACAGTTCCTGTTTGTATCGTCAGTGCTGAATGGCCGCCAGCGTGACCATACCACCCACAGGGCTACGAAAGTTATCCGGTTGTAACGTAGTCATTCTAAGGAAGATGGTTTGAAAGCAGTCAAGTTTATCTAATTTGTTTTCTTGGTGGTAGTATTAGGGTCTGAACTTGGAGCCTTACATTTGCCAGATAGGTGCTCTACCACTTGAGCCAGGTCCCCAAGCCCTTTTTAGTTGTGTCAGAGATAGAGTTTTGTGGTTTTGATCAGGTTGGCCTGCACCACAGTCATTGTCGTCTTTGTAGCTGCATAGTTAGCAGGACAGGTGTGCGCTACGCCTGGCTTTTTTGTTGTTTTTGGCGGTGGGTTCAGACAGCTTCAAACCATGATTCTCCCGATCTTTACCTCCTGAGAAGCTGTGATTATAGATGTAAGCTATGGTGCATGGCTTACAGTGTTACGGGGTCGAGACTAAAACAATTAAGTATTTCCTTAAAGGAAAAGCTAAGGTGAATTAATGTGTTGAGTGACGAAGTTGGGTGAAGGAAAGAGGACAGGTTATGGGGGACAAAGAAAGAGGTTTTTGTGGGGGAGACGATCTGGTCTGATGGGGGAGGGAGGCATGAAGTAGGGAAGAGAAGGGTGCTCTGGCTCACTCCGTGGGGGTCTCGGGTCCCTTGGAAGGGCAGCTGCCCTACGGAGGCTCACCACACACGGCGGAAGACACGCTCTGAACAGTCACTCTGCCCCCGAATTTCTCCTCATCCTCGCTGTCCCTTCTGTACATCTGAAAGAGGGGATCTCTGCTGCCGCTGAAGCAAAGACGGAGACTTGATTCAAGGCAGGGGCTGATGGTGGGCGATGGGCTCTCGGCGCACGAGTAACGGCCTAGCGCCTCATCAAGGCTTGGACGTGATCAGAGTCTGAGCATGCCATGTCTGCGTTGCTACCACCTCTTCAGTACGCTCCTGTAACAGAGCCTCCTCGCTCCCCGCTAAGCCGTTTTACACATAACTCACAGCACTGTACATGCGCATGAAGTTCATTTCCAGTGCACCCAAAGCTGATGGCTAGCTCAGCTGCTGTCAGCATTTGCGGGAGCAGGGATGCCCCCAAATGAGCATTTTCATTCCGTTTCAGAATTTTAAGAGTGACTTTAAGTACAAGATTTTTTTTTTTCTCTTTGTTGGCATGTTTGAAGTTTCCAGGTACTGAATTCCATTTGCTTAGACTTTTGTGTGTGTGTTAAATGGAAACACAAAACAAACCCCCACTTCTCTGTATGGCTCAGATTCGCTCCCACCTTGTTTTCCACAGAGCCCTGGAGACCAACAGGTATAACCACATCACCGCCACTTACTTCCTGCTTGCCGAAAGGATCCTGAGGGAGAAGCAAGAGAAAGAGATACAGACCAGATCTGCCAGCCCGAGCAACATCAAGGCCCAGTTTAGGTGAGAAAAATACCTCGCCAGTTTTTAGTAAGTCTTGCTGTTGAAAGAGTGAAGTTTCCCTCACTCTTCTTAACCCCAGAGCGAGAGGTGACTCACGTCTGGCCCCTTGGTTATGCACAAGTGCATTGCATCCTGTGTCCCCTGGGTCATTGGGCTCCGTGGACCAGGCAGGCCAGGAGGACATGTGTGGAGAAGGCCGTGTCCCCGCCTGCGTGGCTGCCACTTGTTCTCATGTAACTCTTTGGAGTCTTTTTTTTTTTTTTTGTCGGTTGTGGGGGCTGAACTCTGGGCCTGGGCGCTGTCCCTCAGCTCTTCAGCTCAAGGCTAGCGCTCTACCACTAGAGCCACAGCACTCTGGCTTTTTTTTTTTTTTTTAAGAGGACAGTAGTGGATTTATGAGCTTCTGGGCCTCGAGGGGACCCCTCGCCTCTCCCACTCACTCCGCCGCCTCTGGGAGGTGAGGCGATGGGGCTTACTTCCCTTGTGGGCTGGGTTGCATCTAGTCCTGTAAAGTACTGAGCCCCGAGCTTGGTGCTTGCCTCCTTCCTTAGGAGTGCTTACCTAGTTCCCCCAGGTTCCTAGGTGCCTGGGGGAAGCTGTCCACGCACCAGCTTCAAGACTGGGTGAGTATGAGTGTGTGTGTGGGGGGGGATTGCTTCATCTGAAAAGGGGGATCATAAGCATTGCTCCATGGAGGAGTTGTAGGTCCCAGGACTTCAGGAGCGGCTCCCGCAGGTGCAGCTGACACGAGGAGCGGGTTGTCACTGTGAGCTAGCTTTCCATCCGATTTGTTTGTCATTTTTTTGTTAGCCGGCTATTCTTTAAGCCATGGTTTTCTCACCCACCATGTTGTCTGTAAAGATGACCCGCGTGGCCTCCTTCTGCAGGGTGCTGCCCTGCAAGCTGGGTAAGGCGAGCTGTTCCGGTTTGATTCGTCACACCCGATGGGAAAGTGCCCACGATGCCCTTGCCAGCCTTGTGTCTGGACATGGATTTTGGCTTGAAGTTGGGGATGGAGGGAAAGGAGAAGCACCTGCACGCGCTCTCTGTCTCCTGCTTCCAAGCTGCGGGGAGAGAGACGGCTATGCTGGAAAAGCTATGGTGTGTTCAAGGCTATAGATTGAATTGGGCTGTATTTTAAGAGTAACACAATCAGTGGGAAATGGAAATGTCACGGTGTGCAAGTGGCGGTTTTAAATGTCTGTGGCCCCAGCGTAGCCTCCTGTGCTCCTGTTCCTAGGGACAGGAGGGGGGCTGTGGAGATGCCAAGACATTTATACCAAAACCAGCCAGAGTGCCCTGAGCCCTGCGCCGCCTCCGAGCCGAGATACCAGCAGTGCTTCTGCCCCTAATCTCATGGACACTGCAGTGTCCACTAGCTTCCATGCCCCTCTTCACACGTGCCACAGCCCTGGGTTTTCTAAGTCCGTTCTGTTTCCATTTATTTCAATGCACGGCCAAGTGTTTTGCACCATGGTGGAGACAAACCTGTGCTGGCAGCGCAGGTGAATTATTTTCACGCCCGTGCCGGCAGAGCCACGGGAAGGACGTGGTGGGGACGTTGTGGCTGAATGCCGGGAGTGTGCAAGGGTGGTGTCCTGCGCGTGTCCACATTCCCCTGTGGTGTGCGAGGGTGCATGACCACATGCCCCCCCCCCCATCTGTCGTTCCACAGGCAGTCGTGGCCCACCAAAATCGACGTGCCCCAGGACCTGGAGGACGACCTGACGGCCACGCCGCTGTCCCACGCGACGGTGCCGCCCGCGCCCGCGCG